AAGCGCTCTAGTCACGTCGTCAATGTATGGGTACCACTGTCTTCCAACGCTGGAATTCGGGTCGCTTTTGGCCCATTCGGCGTTGAGATGAGTGGTAGATGGCGATAGATCTAGATGGCCCTTCTCTTTTACGAGCGTCTGGATGGCCCTCCCAACTGAAAGAAGCGTATGTGCGTCTCGTGCGAATGTTCCCGCACTGTCTTTTGGATCGTGTGGAATTGAATCGAGGTTGACCCTCGCCGTCCATGATGGCAGATCCCGCACAGCATCAATACCAAGACTTGCTCTGCACTTGCATGGTATGCGGTCATTTGTAGTATTGTTGCCCGGAAAAAATTGATCCAAATGTACTGAGGCGATACGTTCACAAACTGGACATACTGCTCTGCCAGTAGGGTGTATGAAAGGTACAATAGGTTTAGGATGCAGCGAGGACAAAGGGCAATCGGGAGATAGAGCAACGATTGGGGGCGTTGGAAGTGTAGATTTGCATCTGATAGCAGGCAATGAGCGATATGGTCGATAGGCTAGCAGCGTTGATGCGCAGTATCTTCGATGGATTGATACAGAATTCAATCTTCGCATGAGCGCCATTGGCAATAAACTTATCGTGAACCGTTCAAGATGCGTATACAACCCAACTCTCTGCTACAGGTACTTTGCTGTGACCCAAATACCTGATACCGCTTGCTACACCTGCTACTGGCTCTTTGATGAGCTCTGGCGAGAAGCAACTTGCGCTGTCGATTTGCGACGTTGGAACTTCGTCGAATCGACATGCTTGCTACGCGTCTTGTCTGGGAGCATTCCTTGTGCCAGTGGTAGACCCGCCTGCGCTCAGCATGATTGCCCTCGTCAGATCTGAACGCATTCTTTGGGCGACGATTGACTTTGCTTGAGTTTGACATGTTGACACACGCGCGTCCGTGAAAGGTATCTTTGTTCGTGATTCGTTTTGGTACCGCTTTGTTCAGCATGTTTGTGAGGCTACCATTGCGAAAACATGTTGACACCGGTGCTTTCTTTGCCTGGGTTCTAAACACTTGGTATTCCTTCAAAGACACATGCAGACTGGTGTTGACTTTGCTCATGTGTGGTGGAGAAACCCGCAGGTTGTCGCGGCGTTTGCCACCGTCTTGCCACTGGGAGAGAATGCGCAATCATCTAAGTTTTATGTTGTAGACTCCACAGTCTGGTGAATTTGCTTCCACAATCGTTCGCCGCTTTGACGTAGTCGCACAGGAACCATGTTTGGTGTTGCAGCCGCTATGCACAACACAATGATTTCTCCGCTTGGAAGCCTGGGCAGATCAGTTTGTCCAAAATAGTCTACTAGTTGATCAACATCCGTGCGAAATGACTTCACTACCGAGATTTCAACAATAATATCGCGACGTTGATGATTCGGGCGTGACCTTTGCTATCACAGTCAACGCGCTAGACCCTTCGCTAGTCTCACCTCTAGCCTATTAGAACCCCTCTTACCCTGGGCACCTGCCTGCCTCCACTAGTGCCCACGTATCTCACCTGCTTAGGTATTAAACCTCAGCTCACCTCAACAATCTTCGCGCTCATGGCATCCTTCCGTCTTCTTCAACGTGCAGCACCTTTCTCACTCCCCGCCCGCCTTCTCAATCATCATCGAATGTCGACAAACAAGAACGCATGTCCACACCTACCTACGCTAGGTTTTGGCAGGGTGGCTGACATGAACGAGAAAGCGCGACACGTTGGGGCCCAACAATATGCAGATTTCTCGAGGTGGCGAGCTAGCAACGACAAGCAAGCGCTTCCCTTCAAGCAACAAATCTGCGAGTTCTTCAAAGTCGATGTAAGAACTACGGTGTATGCGCTGCTTTGAAGAAACTTACTGACTTCATGTGTCTACACCTCAGATCGAGGATGAACAGAAATTTGGCGACATCTTGGATGAATACGTGAAGAGACAGGATGAATACGCGGCACTACGGGTGTCTCAGTTGGGCGGAGAGACCGATCTGGATAAAGTGCTTCGCATGAACTTCAACCGAGAGTCGACAGTCACTTTTATGCGGGATGTCGAAATGCAGCTGTCCAGCCGACATACCTACGGCATGGGCCACCACAAGAACGTTGATCTTTATCTAGAGATCCTTCCAGCCGAGCTCACCGCTCATTACGCTCCTTCATCTATCAGCGAGATTAATCATTACTCCAACGCCGTCTCCACCCCGTTCATATACGCCAAACATCATCTGGGAAAGTCACACGGCAGTGACGATGTCGCCCGACCAACACAGTCTGGAGGATCGTCTGGACCCTTAAATCAGACGCGTCCGTTGTGGTTCGAAGCTGACCCGAATGCAACCGGGAACGCGGAATCCCCAAACCTGTACAAATCGAAGTTGGTACACATCGGGATCATCAACGCCGAGGAGCACACCAAGGACCGCGGCATCAACACGCAACAAACACCATACGCCGCCGTAGGGCAGGTTGGAGATAACGGTTTCATCAGTGGAATCTACGCCATCCCTCTGGATCTGAAGGACGACGAAGAAGAAAACGAAATGTCGCCGTCGAGGTGGTACGATCTAAATGACCTCTGGAAGCCGGACAGTGTGGGTGTCTACTATCTCGGCAAGACGCTCGAAGAGTGTAGGACCAACGAGTGGAAGTTGGTGTCTGATGGCCCGGTTGAAGTCATCCACATACCGGAGGACGAGTAGTGAGTGGAATATCCGGCCTTTGTTGCATGAAGCGCGAAGGAGACATACTAACCCCCATCAGAAGTGTGGCTATGGTGTCGAGGATGTAGTCTTATGGGTCTGGTGTTGCGTGGCCTTGAGTTCTGTCGTGAGGTGATGTCGGAGTCTAGCGGGGTCAAAAAGCTTGATGTTTTTTTGTTCTTCTCGCACGACCCATCACTACTAGACACCACTCCCAGCTGGCTATGTCTGCTGCGATCAGCGTTTTCGAGTTGGCGATGGCGGTTTTAAGCGGTAGCGAGAAGTTGATGACTTTGATGCGCGCGATGGTTTTAGGGATGCAAGGATAGACTCCAGTAATGAACAGCTCACCGAATCTTGTCCGTCGTGCGTTGGTCCTGGGTAGGTGTAGCGAGATGTCCCAGTGCTGCATGCCTTGTCAGCGCCAGTCAAGCTTTGGGTGTTACCTCGGTCCATGGGAAAGGTAGGTGTATCTTCCAGCCAATTGTGATCTCGCTAGTTTGGTCGCTTGAGCTGGTGATGTATCTCCCTGGAAGAGATATTGCCTGATGTGAGACGTATGGATTTTGAAGGCGTGGGTTGCACATTGTCCTTGTGACGTTGTCGGCACTGGTCCAAAAGATAGCCATATCCAGTAGGGTACACAAACGAACGGAACTCCAACATCCACATGCTTCGTTTTGCTGATGATGCACGCATTGTAAGAGTGAACTCCACGTATTGCGATACTCACCTGCTGAAGCGAGCGCGCGTTGAGCGGATTTGACGCGCAATCGCCTCCTGCCCTCACCGAGCGGCGCGCACCTTCATGCCCAGCTCATCTCTCTTAGACGAGGAGGCCGGGCCCATATAGATGTGTAAGTGCTGTCATCGCGTCGCACCTATACTGATGAGCTGTCTTTGAGTTGAAAGACCCTGCGTACGGGAAGAAGATGCGCGTGTTGATGAATGTTACGAGTTTTGACGCGGCTGGCGATCCCAACGCGGAGCTGTCGCGACATGACCACTCCCGCGGCGCTCTCTTGAGTGCCATTGGCGGAGCGCGAGTCAGGCCGGGAACTTCGCAATCCATCACCCACGGGGTCTGACGTTTCCCACAGCCGCCATGCCTTCTCAATCAACGATTTCGGACCAGAAGGAGCTTTTTTGTAGAAGTGATGTTGCACGCCCTACATCCTTTATCAGGTTTGAGCTCCTGGCATGACTTTTTCCCGGCGTTTGGCGATAGGAGAAGCACCACGTCGCATGTATGAGTTTTCGCACTTGTGCCGGCGATGCATGGAGTGCGGCACATCGCGATGGTGTAAAGACCGTGTTCACAGAGCTTGAATTTGTTCGTGTTAAGACGGAATTAGCCTGATGAGCGGTAGCAAGACTGCACCACATGTGGCGTGCTGTCGCGCCCCTTCCCTCCAACCTTCGATACATCAGACGGGCAATGGACTCTTGACGGCCACCACTCAGTTTACCCGGGCAAAACGCCATTCTCGACTTTTTAAAAGCCTTTCTTGTTTGGGCCCTAGCCGAAAGGATACTCAGAGCTCGTGCGTGCATCCAGTCCCGGAACCGATAACTCATGCGTGCAGAATGGCAGCCATGGCACGAAACGACCACGAAGTATTGGATTAAGAGATTGCTGTGATGAGAACTTCTATAGCTATTTGTTGCCTACATCTAACTTAGTCAATTTTAACCTCGTCATCAAGGACGAAAACGGGGGATCACATTGTAGATACACCTCAACCAAGTGGAATGATGAACACGTGATGTGAAGGAAGGTTTCCATTCATTCATCAAAAATACATAGATATGCATGGGTATCATCATGGTCGCCATTATTCGTGGCTCTTTCTTCCGCTCGTCTTCTATTATGATCCAATCTGCGCACCGGGTGCGGCCTCGATATCGATACGACCATGAGCCTGCGTCTCAGGGAGTGTGAGGCAGCAAGATCTCGAGACACCAGCGTGGTACGGCGATGTGGACGTTCTCGAGCTAGCCGGCGAGGCTGCGCTGCGAAGCGCCCTACTTGTTGGCCCTGCGCCGCTTGACGGAGTCGTATAAGGAACTGAACGTAGGACTGGAGAGACTATCGTCGGAGTTCCCAGCAGTATCCGCATGCGCGTACAGCCCTCCGCCCAGCACCTTGGCTTTGCCTCTTCCGCTGTCGCGCTTGTCCTTTCTTTGACTCATGTCGGAGACGCGGTAACGAGGCCCTGCGCTCTTCTGAGCCTTGTTCTTCTCCTTGCCCTTCCCCTTCTTCTGTTTGTCTTGACCCTCTCCCAGAATCGATCACATGTCGTCATCGTCTTGCACTGCCCTCTTCATCACTTTCTGCTTCTCTTTGTCCTTTGTATTCTTCTTCTTCTTCTTCTTTGCCTGCACAGCTGGCGTGGCTGGAAGCGCTGGGGCGCGGGCGGTGTTGATGGTAAAGGGATCGGGCTCGAGGGAGGCTTCGGCTGCAGTATCGACGTCAATCTCCTCATGCTCACGCTGCGCATGCCTAGCCTCGTACTCCTCGATCGAGCCATCTCCTATCACGCTCGCGATCCCCCAAGAGTCGGGCCACTCATTGCCGTTGTCGTCCACCCCAGCCCATCGCACAAGATACTCCGGTTCGTCGGAGTTCTCTGAGTATCCTTTGTCGATCAGGTAGTCGACTTCGGAGGTTTCTTTGGTCCAACCCGCCGGGATTCGAAGCTTCGCGCGAGGGCGACGAGTGCGCGGCTCATGGAAGCTGATGCCACGAGCGGCTGAGAAGCGGACCGAACGGCGCGTGGACGCGGTGGAGCTGTCAACTATATACACGACGTTAGTACGACGATCAGGTACAACGCGGATGGCGGTAGCGAGTCAGAGCAAGGGTCATACCGTCGCGTGTCATGATGGCGGGGTAGCGTGGGCGCTACGCTGCTGGTCTGGCCAGGAGTGATCGTGGTTGGGCCGGAGAGTTTGCCTGTGCGCTATGTAGCCAAGCTGATGTCAGATGGCAGGGATGCGCAGCACCTTCTTTCAACGGCGACATGGGAAACCGCGAAAGCAGCGTTTATTTTCTCGCGGTAGCAAGAGCATGTCGACTTAAGTACAGTTTTGCACATTCATTCATTGAGAAAGGCTGACGTCGTTTGGAGTTGGGTTCCTGTCTGCACGCAGAGGTCTTGGTGAGCTGCGGCGGTTCTGGCTGCGGGACGCCCGCCCCAAGTCCCCTGGCTGCGCACATCTCTCCAGAGCCGCAAAGCGAACCAGTCTCCGTCATAAATTGGATTCTTTGTCGCATTGGTCATCTCGAAGTACTGGCCCTTTTTTGATGCTGATTTCTACCCGTCGTGGTTGTGGTGTCGTGTGGCACAGTTTCGCAGCTCACCAGCAAGCCCACGCGCAACGCATCTCGTTCCGCCCGACGACACGATCATGTTCAGGTCGACCGAGATAAGATGTCGCACCCGCTAAATCTTCGTGATAGAAGCACGATATTATGATGAATGTACCATGTACTCGTCTGCATAGGTGTTCGTCGATGACATTTGTTCAATCCGTCCGTCGTCCACAAAGCTGCTCGAGAGGCCGAAACCGCGTGAGGGTTGCATAAACAGAGACATTGGTTTCAGCTTATGTTTCCTTTGTACTTCCCTGAACTCTTGTCGTCATTCCGAATTTGTGTCGCTGCGAGGCAAATATGAGACACTGTTTCAACGCCCTTACTCTCACCCCATCAGTTCAGCGCCAGCGCAGTTGCGAGGTCAAGCAAGTGCTCGCATCGCACCTGATGTATCGCTTTCTCTATTGGCTAACGGTCCGCCGGCATCGAGAGCACTACCAATATTCTGATTGTCTACTCATGTCGAGGCAATTTATGCCATCCACAGTGCACTGCGAGCGAAGCCAAAGACCAGGAATCATTGCTTCACGCCTCATCAAGGTTTCAACCAGATTATAGAGCGAAGGCCGTTCCAGACGGCATGATAAATATCGCGTGTTTCCTCCCGGATGTCCTCATCGTGACATATTGCGCAATCCCTATAACATTACCTTTACCCATCGGGCGAGAACCGTTGCAAGGTTTCCATATCGCTAAACCTCAATCAGACCTGCCCTGTAACTCATCCGTAAGTCTATCATACCCAACCGCGTACCCTTTTTCCCTGTGCTTCTCCGCTGACTCCCAAGATCAGGCGTAATGGACTGCCGCCCTTCGCCTCTACCTATCTGGCTCAATATCATATTGTTTACGAACCTCGCAACTGTCATTGTCTGTAACTCCAAGATCATCCTTCACAGTTTCGGCTACTTGAATGCCCACTATGTCTCGGGGTCGGACACAGATGCTCGCGTGTTGCTTCTGAGCGGGTTCGTCATGATCCTGATTGCCAACATTATCATGAGGAGGGCACAATCGGTCATCAGAGACGTGGAGAAGCTCAAGTCTAGCATGTTGCTAGCCAGTCATAAGCTGGCTGTCGCCGAGCGTCATCGTCGAGAGTCGCTAAGGGAGGAAGAGGACGAGGAATTCGAGCTCATCCTATCGGACGCTACTACCGATACGGTGCAGGCAAACCTGAACGCACTCCGAGCCTATGTCGACGCCAATAACGACATCATGGCGATTCTGGACAGAATGCATGATCGCAAGGACCCCGATATGGCTTCCATCAGGAGTGTGCTCGAGGTTAGAACCACCATCGAAGAGCTGAGGAGGAAGAGTGGCGATGAGTTCGAGTTGTACATTGCTCGCTTGGACATGATCCGCTCGGCTTTCAGACAACGCGACACCTAGGATGTGTACCATTGCCTTCCACCGGGCTTTGTTGGCGATGTTGGCGAGAAGGAGGCTACGTTTCTGCTATGCATGTATCACCGTCCAAGATCTTCCTAGTTACTGCGAAGAAACTTAGCTAGCATAGCAAAGATTCTATCAGCATCTTGTCATTTCTCTCCCTGTACCGGATGAATGTCTCCTGTTTGCGATTTGTCATGGATGAGTATCAGCTATAGCCAGTGTACTACCTTCTCCATGCTGGGCTCGTCTTCACCCGAAGTTGCTGCGGAAAGAACGGGAGTGAGCCAAGGAACATATTTCTATTGCGATGCATCGTCTTCTCTGCCAGGGGTGATACACAAGACCCTCATCCCTATGGGAGATGAGAAGTCCAATGGTCTTGAATCTTACTTCCAACCTGGATATGTAGTCTAGCCTTTCCGTCATGTAATTCCCTTCTGTGGACCGTCTTCAGCTTCGAGAAAAGGCTCGGGTGAAGAGAAGTACACTGAACCTTTCGTCATGCCAATTGGGCGAGCAATGCGGGAAATACAAGCCAAGGCTGGTACGACGGGCAGCTCGGGTCGGTACCATTTGACAATGAGGCATCATGTCGGCTTCCTCCCACATAATTTGACATTGATATTGTTGCCTGCTAAGGCGCGGCACCGGTATTGCAATGTTGGGACCAGTGCGGAGTATAGGCCACATCTGAGCTCGTCGAGGGGCCATCGGGCTGTGCGCATTCCTCTCCGCCTCTCCTCGCTACCCGACACGACCCATGATCTAGCTCACCGGCCCATCACCCCAGCGAGGTCAACTCCACGCGACCGCGTGTATGTATGTGACGTCCTCCTCGTGTATCACCAAGACGCAGGCACAGCAAAGAGCGGCTTCGCCTTTCCAGACCTCGTGGAGGGGACAGAGGCTGAAGAGGGCCATCGTGGGCGCGTTGCGGGCTGAAACAGGTGCTGCAGACAATCGCATGGCCGGCCCGAATCGACTGGAAGGAGGCTCGTCTGAAGATAGGAGGCGAACGATGTGCAGATGACGGGAGCATCAGTCTCGGCCGCCAACGCATAGCGGAGTGAAACCGCCAAGATCTTCGAGCGCGGAGATATATGACGATGCGCTGTGTTCTACATCTCATCTGATAGCATTGGCTTTGCGCCCGGCACTGCTCCAATATCTTGTCATCTTCTGGCGTCAGGGCAAGTTCCTGCCTTGATCAATCGAGAAAGACTGGTCAGACGATGCAACGCCAGTAGCCGTATTTTCTCCCTCTCACTCGGTCGGCTTATCTGATCTCGTGCGCATGGAAGGGATGGTGATACGGGGTGGGGTCGAGGACTGGTGCGTGTGCGTATGCGGTAAAGGGCATGTTGACGGACGATGAAAGGCAGCCGCAGCCTGGTACGCTTCTGAAAACCAAGAGTCAGTATGAAGCCAATATAGATGAAAGGAGCCTGGGCAGTTCGTACTCGTGGATGGCGGTGATTTGGGATCGCAGCGCGAGCTCTTCAAATCGCAATACCCTCCTCATGGCAGTTGATGCGCCTCATACGCGCCTCGGTACTTACAATGTCATCTCTCCCCTTTGGGAACACGATCAGAGGTTGTGGCGCCGTTGGCACTGCTGGGTGTCGTGGTTTGGCGTTGCGGTCCGCGCCGCACATGGCTGGTGACGTCACATCACCAATGTCGCATCGCACCGCGTTGTTTCGAGTCGAGAAAGACGCAGGAATGGTAGTGTAGAGCGCAAGTTCAGTTTGGGGGTACGGATACCGGATGCGCATACGGGCGTACGCGGTGTCCGCACTCGAGGGCGCGGTGGCCTGCGATCTTGGCCGGGTGGAAGCTGACTAGTCGGCACGTGGTGTCGACAGCTTGGCAGGGTCCAGCCTCCCCGCACTCGAGGCTTAGCGAGTACTTCCGCATCTCTCCATACGTCCTGCTCCGTCAGCACATAGAAGAACACCTGATCTGCCAATAGCGGCGCTGTTGCCTACGAACAAGAGCCATCGCATCCGTGTTAGGCGCGGGCAAGGCAGCTGACTTCCGCGCTAGAGAGTTCGCACTGGACCTCAACGAAGGGCGACAATACTTTACCAAGCATGTCGTTTCGTCTCGAACATTGCAAGGGGATAGGAGTCTAGTTAAATCGATGTTTCCCCATATTTCTGCCCGGATAAAATCGACGGGTCAGCCACTACGATGGAGAAGTGAACGGCACGAGAGACAATAACCTCATCGATTCCAATTCATATGCGCTGGAACAAAATCAAAAGAGTCAAGCCATATTCCTGCATCAATTGGTTGACAGAGAGCTAGACGCTGGTCCACGAATCACCCCGAACCGTGCGCAGAGAAGAAAAAGCTCAGGAGCCCAGCATACCATCCCGATACCAACGCCAGCCGTAGTCCACCACCTACAGGTCTTTGATGATGCTCTTCATGAACCACATCATGACAATGAGCGAGAAGAACATGAGAAGCAGGGCCTGTCCGATCGCCACGGCAGCCATGACCATGGCGACAATCGTAGCGAGACCCTGGCTGATAACCACGCTGCAGAACATCGTGATGACGACCTTGGCTTTGGCTTTCGCAAGAGCCACGTCCACCTCTTTGTCAAGACTTCCCACCCGGTGAGAGGGGACTGGCGCTTCTGCATGGTCGGGCGGACTGGCGGCTGAGAGTTCAGATGTAAGCAAACGTGTGCAAAAGTGCGGGTATATCGTACCGTCCACTGGCGCTACCTCCGGGGCTTCGACCGCAGAAGGCGCTTTCTCACATTCATTCTCATGCGAGTTCGACGATGGATGTTTTGCCTTGCCCGCGAGCAGTAGGTCGTCATATGGGTCACCTTCAGTCTCTGGTCCAACATCAGTTTCGCCATCATGTACGGCTATCGCACCGGGATCGTCGCTTACCATTGCTGGAAGCATGCATGGTGAAGAGCGTGCTGATACGTTCGGCAAGTGGGCTGTCGAACAGCCGGTCAGGATCACCAAGTCTGAAGAGAGGTTGCAATTCATAGACCTCCTCGTGGCGTGAGTTGTTGCTGTTGCTGGCGCCCGACATGACGGTCAGTTGGTAGAATGTCTTTGATCTGGGATAATGGGCGCGTGCGATCGGCGAACAGGGTGAATGCTCGCTGTTGAGGAGAGAATAGCCGTGAACAGATCTCTGACGTCGTGCCCGAAGAAAGAGGACGGGGGCTGACTTCTTATCCAGACCACGCTGCACGTTCGATACTCTTTCGAATCAAACTAGTGATTGTGCTTAGAGACACCTATATTTTGGGTAACGTTTGGTCACGCTCAGCGCTGTCCGTGTTATGGAACTTCGTCAATCGACCTTTGGCCCAATTTGCTAGCCGAGACATGAAGGATCCGCTCCCATCTCGATCATAAAAAGCAGAGCGTCTAGATATCGGACCTTGGCACCATCGCTAGTATCATCGAACTTGCGCATACTCAGATCGACTCTCATCCAGCAGGCTGCATCATCATTGTTCCTCCGTTCATTGTTTGCAAGACCAGAGTACGATGCGGCCACCATTGGTGCTCGCGCGAGTTGCAGCGTCTGGGGCTCATGCGGCACAGACACAACGAAGTTACACAAAACGCGGCTGGCCACGCCGATTCCATTTCGTGCGAGATTTGGTACCGGATCCTTCCCGTGATCGTTGTCCGCGGGTGTGCTGTCAAGCCCAAAACAAGCAACGCACCCACGTGCGCGGAGATAAAGTTCTCGTCGATAATACGCATTTGGACTCGTAAAAGCCAGTGGTGGTTGAACCCTGCGTACTTCGTTCCGGGAGATGTGCTGCTGTCTTCGGTACATTCTCCATGGCTACAGATCGAATTGAAGCATGAATGTGCTTGTGCCGCTCATGAATAGACTTGCATTTGGCCATATTTATGCTGACTTGTTGCAAAGCCCCAGAAGAACGTCTGCGCACAGTTACTAATACTTGAAGCCTCACTATCACCGCATTTGTGATCAACTCTATCCTCGTCGCTTTCTTGATAATTGGAGGACGCAGAGGCGTATCGTCCCCAGAGGCGGTCGTAACGCTATTCTTTCACGATGGGGGATAGAGCATGCCGTAGCAGAAGCAGACGAGACTAGAGAGAACTTGAGCGTTCGTGGGTTGAGTGAGACGTTGTTACACGGGCAGTAAAGAGTGAGTATAGCTTGACTAAAGAACCGTCCGCGACGATGCCGGGGGTTAGAAAGAACTCCCGACGCTCAGAAGAAGTCGTTCCATTAATTTCGTCTATATGAGGGACGTATCAGCTCGTCGTGGTGTACCTGCGCGTTCGGCTGCGGATGGGTTGAGTGTCTCGGATGTTCATGCGCAGGAGACGCTAGCAGAAGTTCCCCAAGTGAGGAGTTGATCATATTCATGAAACCGAGCAGATTTTGAAAGAGGCAAGCATTACTCAGATTGAATTTCGCATTCGTCAGCACTCAGCCTAGCTTGGTCACTCAATCGTGGAGAAGGAGGAGATCTCGAGCTATGAAGTACAATTTCGTAGTGCTACTGGAGACGCAGCTTGACATTTGCACCCCTTTTGTTGTCGTTCCTCACGGCCTCGGTGCTACGTATCTCGCTCAAAATCCATGTCCCCATCTTCATCCTCAACCTTGACAACTTGTCTACTCTGTCAATCACAAACCTTTGTCACCCCGGTGCCCGCTCAATGCTGCCGCATCGACTGCTTAGGGAGCACAAGCTGCTAGCAACATAGCTGCGTCGTACCACATCTAGGTCATCTTCACTTTGGCCATGAGTAGCGTGGGGACGTCCAGCTGCGACTACGTCCGTGATGACCTGAGAAGGCATTGGCGGACATGGATGCGACATACGTGGTGGTTAGCAGGACCACGGGATGGCAGGCCTGTGTCGTGGTTCGTATTGATGGTCGAGGGCTGCGATGGAGAGTGATGCGACGGTATCCATGGCGGAATGGACGGTCCAGTTGGGTTGGAACCTGATCGAATTGATGCACCGCCCATAGCCGCGATGCCAAAGTGCGACGGCAAGGGCTCCATCACATCCTTAATAACGACGTTTGGCAAATCCACGTATATCGCATCCTTTGAGGTTGCCGTAACCGTCCCGTTTTCCATGCACCATGATATGGCGGAATCCTTCAAACGCCACTTGTATATGTTCTTGTTCGAAGAGGGAGACCCAGGATGACCGTATAAGAAGTTTGAATGCTAGGTAGCGACTGCGGATCGGGTACGATCGTACGTATAGCTCATCGATGAGAGCGTCCGGCAATGCCATTCGAAGACATGCTCGTGATTCCGCCTATCTCGCCTCCGGCTACGTGTTGAGTTCCATATTTTACGGAGCGAAGGGGCCCAGGGACTGGGGAGGGAGAATCGGCTGAGGGCGAGTAGTTTGGCTGCAATAAAGTGGGAGCGTCAAGTTGTCGTCGCTTGAGCAGCGCTGAGGCGGGCGGGTTGTCGGTGGAGTGTAGTATCGGCATGGGCGTTCATGTGTAGCGAGGGCGTCTAGTGGGCGGTCTTGAGGTCGAATGCGACATCGGCGATATATTGGCAATGCTCGTCGTCCCCGCCTTGCCAAAGACACGCGGTATGCCCTACGGTGTCGTGTCAGTCGCGACAGAAGTAGCTTTGGGGATAAGGCGGTAAGCCTGTACCTCTGAACGTCAGGAATATTGCGATGCCTCTCGCATTATATGGTGATGTAATGCGTGTATTGCAGGGCGATTGCGCACTGGCTGTCTCTTCGGCGGGTGTGAATGTATCGTAAGGCTGGCGGGGGCTGCTTGAGGCGCGACGCTCTCCAGGGTTGGCGCGCGCGGGGCCTTGGCGGCTACGTCAGACGGGCGGGCGGGCGTAGATAGTAGAAGGACTGCCCGAGCTCTGGCTGCGGTGAGGGCGAAGGCAAGTCATCGTGGAGGCGATTGTGTGTGAGTACAAGTAGGGGTGGTTGGGCGCTGTGGTGCTGGCAGTCGCGTCCCGGATGAAGGTCGGTGTCGTCCAGGTCAGCTGAGCATGTCGTCTCGACGCAGTTCAATCGTGTAGAAAAGGGCTAGGGCAAAAGGGCCGTCCGAGGTGGAGTGCAACATTGTCGTTGAATTAAGAAGGGTGTCGGCGCCCCAACCTTCGGGTTAGCGCCCTTTTGCGCCAATTCCCCCGCTCAAGAGATCTTCTCTCCCCTACAACCATCCGATATCTCGACAACGGCTAGCTGACACGGTCACAGACTTTCGGACCCGGCGTCCGTAGTAGGTATACTTTAGAATGTGGTGCCATATTGATTTCGTGGTGGCAAGGAAGTTTTGGCGGTAATCACCAGAGCTCAGGCAAGCTGGTGAAGAAAGAGGAACAAGAGTGGGACAATGAGGCTGAAGGTTTGGATACCAGGCTTTAGCGCGATGCTCGGTGTGGGCGTCTTGAAGTACTATTTGCCTAGTATGAACACTTCCAATTGCTGTCAAGACCAACCGCAGCGGTGTCTTATCTCCTCCTCACTCACGTCAATCAACACTTCGAGATCAAGCCATTCGTCACCACCATCGTTCGCTAGCCGACCCTGGTGCCCGCGTTCAAACCGATATCGCGGAGGAGCGCGGGGTAGACGCGGCGTTGTATCTTTGAGAACTGTCACAGGATGGATTATACAATGTGCTTGGCTGTCGATATTCAGAAGACTTCGCACTGTGGCTGACCAAAGTCGTGTGGAGATCCACGGAGTAGCATAACCTGGGCTGGCTCATGGAAGCCTTCGTAGTTTTTGCAAAGTCAATGTAGGCGGAGTTAAACTTTTCTTTAAAAAAAAAAAACTTCTACTGAACTAAGATACTCTAACCTGTCAAGAGCTTTTGGAGCATTTGTGCTCCACATGCTACACCACGAAGTCCTCCGGGAACTGCACGAGTCCTCGCCTAACCTCCCATGTCTGATGCTTCTCGGGCATCTTCAGCAGCCTAAACACATGCTCATTCTGTGCCGGACGAGTCTGCATCCTGTTGATCACACCTTAAGGCGGTCCTCAGTTCTGGTATCAGACTTCTCCGTATAACCTCTAATCATCGAACAGACTATAGGGGGGATGTAAAGGCGCTTCATTTGCACGCCCCAACCCCATGCCATCGAGCCATTCGTGGATGACTTCGAAGCTCTTCTTCATCTTCTCTTCTTCGCTATCAAGGCTACTCTCGCGGATCATTCGGGCGATATTACGGCTTGGGATAGCGGTGTTATTTCGACTCTGGTCGCCATGAGTCGAGCAGCGGTGGCGGGATTGGCGTATATCTTTCGAGTAATAGTTTCCTTGACCAGGCCCTTGCCTCATAATGCTAGTCTGCATGGCTGGCCCAGTGCTTGTGGGAGTCCTACGCTGGCTTCATTTCCGGCGGTCTGAATCTATGAAGTGTGCTGATGATTTGCTGGGCGCCTGGTGCTTATCCTTGGTCGACACGCACTTCTTGCAAACGAGCCGACAACGTATGCTCTTGCGGTTGCTTCAGTTGACTTCACGACACGATCGAAGACGTTTGACTGATAACGTCTGGCAGATGTGCTTTCGAATGGCTGAGGTCGTGTATGGTTCGCATCTTGCCCTTGTAGTTGGGCGAGTGTGCCGCGTGCGTCCCGACTCGCATGGTCGACTTGGACGCTCCATGTTTTCTTCTGATCATCACCCATTATTCCCGCTTTGCCACGCCGGGACGGGTACAGACGGTAGAGACGAGGTAACTTGGACAATTGCAAACGCTGAATGCACACGTTGGCCACCCAGATCGGGTGAGGTGAACGCGTCGTTACAATTCGCGTGGTCACGCACCTGCCGAAAGCAAAGTCGAGGTGAGCGACGGCCGCTGGAACTATGCGCTACAATAAGATGAGCTTGTGTGAACTGATCAATAGATGAAAGCAAGATACCCTCAGTAGTTGACAAAGCTTAATCGGAATAGCGAGGTGGCAGTTCTCGCCGAAGGTGTGGTGTATTAAGTCCAAATGAATGTGACACGGACAGTACGGGCGTGGGAACGTGATTCGATGGGATGGTAGAGGTTGGAGGTAAGATGAGT